GGGTTTTTATCTGGTATGAACTATGAAGATGGAGAAGGGAAATGAAGATTAGGGAGAGCAGGGGGAGAAGAAGATGAGGGCAAATATGTCCTTTAGTTGTGTTTTATTATTATATTTTTAAGTATTATAATATCAATTGAGGACAAAATGGTATTTTTACTATGCAAAATGTCTTTTTGGTAACACCGTGAAGAACATTTGTTCTTATCTTTTCATAATGGAGGATAATTAATAAAAATAATTGGATTGGGCGCCAAATTGTTGTGAGAAATTGTGTAGCTTACAAATTTTTTTTGTTTTTCAAGTGTGGTGACTCTGCCAGATGGAGAACTTTGCCTTATGCACTGCTTTACTTTGCATTCTTGATTTATATTTCATTAAGTAGTTTTCTTCTTGGAGACTAGTTTTGGTGACTGCCAGACAATTGGATCTTCTCTAAATAAATCTTCATCTTTCATTATTGTTATTATTGTTGTGTTTTTTTATATTACATATTCAAATATAGTGTTGTAATTTCTTTGTGAACCTCCTTTCAATTTTGTTCTATTTGCTCTTGAGGGAACAACTGCTGTTATTTGTTATAGGTAGCAAATTTTGAATTTATTGATGAAGCAGAGGCTGCCGCAGAGGAGGAAGCGCGAAGAGTTGCCATTGAAGATAAATCTACAATGAGCAGTTCTGAAAGAACAAGCTATTGGGAAGAGTTGTTAAAAGATAAATATGAAGTCCATAAAATAGAGGAGTTTAATGCTTTGGGAAAAGGAAAGAGAAGTCGTAAGCAGGTATCTGATTGTTGTTTCTGTGTCAAGTTCTATAGAAAAATAACTAAGCTAACCCTTGATTCTTACCTTGATGGTCTCAGACTCTGGTTTGTTATCTTGCTTTAAATGCTGCCTTAAATGCTCCAGGTTCTTTTGCTCTATTTTTCTTCCCAGGAGTGGTTCAACATTCAGGATGTTGATTAGAATATGATGCAGTAACTTAGAAAATAGACCTTTTTTTCTTTGGGTTACATTTTCCTAGTAAAGGAATTTCACTAAAGTCTTTTAAATCTGTTTAGATGGTATCTGTTGAAGAAGATGACCTTGCTGGTTTGGAAGATGTAAGCTCTGATGGGGAGGATGATAACTTTGAAGCTGAATTGAATGATGTTGATACTTCATCTGGAATGCAATCTGGGAGAAGGCCTTATAGAAAAAGAGCTCGTGGTATATTTTACTGGTCCTAAATTGGTGTTGACAAGTTGATGGCATGAAATAAATTATAAATCTTGTTTTTGATGTGACCATTTTTCCAATTTCTTTCAAATCTTTGTAGTGGATAGCGCAGAGCCAATTCCTTTAATGGAGGGCGAAGGAAAATCATTCAGAGTACTTGGTTTCAACCAGAGCCAGAGGGCTGTGTTTGTTCAGATATTGATGAGGTCAGCTCTTATGTTGTAATATTTTTGTCACTTTTCCCCTGCTCTCTAAGAGTATGTGCACACTGTGCATGCATGGACATGCATGTTATGTGGGTGAAGTTGCAAGTCTCAAAATATTGCTCGAGATAATTGTGGTGTGGGGTTGTGAAGCAGTTACGGGTTTTAAGTCCCAAGCCTTATAGGCTATAGCATTAGTTTGGTGTCTTTCACTTTGACTTTGACTTATTGTATGGTTGTTCTGCAGGTTTGGAGTTGGGGAATATGACTGGAAGGAGTTTACACCGCGGTTAAAACAGAAAACTTTTGAAGAAATAAGAGAGTATAATATGAACTTTACTTCTTAGTTGTTATTTCTTTTCTAGGTGTGCATAGATTAAAATGTTTTGAACATGTATGGTGGCATAGACAACCATTTTATAGTTAGTGACATTATGTGTTTAACTGTTTATTGTGCCTTAGATTGGAATGACACGATCTTTTTTAGGGTTGGTATACTACAAATGTGATGTTCTTTGAAGTCATGCTAACAACAAATAAGCTTTCTGCATATGTGATCATCTTTCATTTCCATGAAATACTTCCAGTATTATTACTCAGTCTTGATTTCATTCATTGCACAAGCTTTTGTCCAGTCTTTACTTTATTTGCTTTAATTTTTTGCTTGGTGCCCCAAAGTTACTTCTTTTTTTCTTCCAAATCAATGTTTCAATGAATTCTGTTTTGTTTGTTTCCATTTATCATATGTCTTATTCATCTGAGATTTTGTTTCCCGTCTTGTATTCAGCTATGGTACCCTTTTCTTGACTCACATCTCGGAAGACCTAACTGACTCACCAACATTTTCAGGTGATTTTTCCTTGCTGTATGGATTTCTTTTTACTTTCAAAATTTGGTTTAGACTTCATTGCCCTCTATATGTCATTTACAATAAATGACTTTGGTTGTAGATGGGGTACCAAAAGAAGGTCTTAGAATTCAAGATGTACTTGTTAGGCTCGCTACCCTGATGTTAATACGGGATAAGGTAAGTTTTCTATTAGGATTCCCATAATTCAATTGGTTTATGTTTCTTTTGGGTTGACTTTACACGGGTGCTTGTCCCTTGAGGTTTCAAATTTGTTTTTGGATTGGTGTTTTGGTCTTGCTTTAAAATAGGGGTTTGACTGCATTTGTTTACTTGGGATTTGTTCAAGTTTTTTACTGTTTATTGGAGGATAAAGCTAATTTGATTTCACTTCAGTCATGAACAAGTCTTTTGAGATACTTGTTCATGTCATATTTGGTTGGACAAAGATGCTTTTCTATCTTCTTGAAACATTTGGATTCTTAATTACTAAAGATATAATATCATTATGTGTTTGTCTAGTTGTTAATGTAATGAGATTGAGATATCAAGCTCTCTAACTTCCATTTATTATTGCAGTGAGGTGAAAATTGCAGTAGTCATTCTGGCCAAGTCCATACCTCCTCCTAATCTGTTTAGCAAGAAAAATTTTTGACTTTTTTTTTAGCACATTGTCTCTGGTCCTACCCTGTGTGTTTGGTTCTTGATTATGTTGCTTTTCAATCAGGCTCTCTTGCATGAGAATAAATTCCAAGGACATTTATTTCATCATGAACCCACTTTGCATGTCAACTTATATATTAAAATGAGAAACTCTAGCTTCACTTTTCATGTTTAAGATGTATATTTCTTATAGTTATTTTCATAATTTTTATGTAATTTCTTCGTTAACCTCTATACCTTTCTAGGACTTGATTTACTAATTATGTATATTTTGTTATATTGTTATTTTGAATGGTAGGTGAAGCATGCCTCAGAAAAGCCCAGCAATCGGCTTTTTACAGATGATATCATCTTGCGATACGCAGGGTTGAAGGGTGGAAAATTTTGGAAAGAGGAGCATGATTTAGTATTACTGCGTGCAGTTCTAAAGTATGAATCCCTTAAATTCTTGAACATACACTGTATTGTTGCAATTTTTCCTGATATTTGGTTTCTTTTTCATTGTTAATGTTAAAATTTTATTAAGTGCCAAGTGAGATAACTCGAAATAACAGCAAGTGCATATCATTTTATTAATGGCAAAACATTGTAGGCAGTTTTATGTAATATTTGAAGTACAGTGAGGCTGAAGCCTGGATGCCTTACATGGTGTTAAATTCTCTAACTGACCAAAGACCTGGTTGACTTTTGTGTATCATCTGTGCTTTGTTTTCATGATTGGCTTAGTTGAGCTTGTGGACTCTGCTATTGCAGTAACTATGGTTTTTTTAAAATTAGTTCAGGTTTGTTACAGGTGTAGCAGAAAAGTTACATAATACGCAATAAGCATGTTCTATTTGGGAAGTTCTGCATTCCATTCCAGCTCATTTTCAGTTGTTTTTTCTAACTTTTGTTTCTTAATCTTAAGACATGGATATGGGAGATGGCAAGCTATTGTTGATGATAAAGACTTGAGGATTCAGGAGCTCATTTGTCAAGAGTTGAATCTTCCCTTTATAAATCTACCTGTCCCAGGTCAAGCTGGACCTCAAGTACAAAATGGTGCTAATACAGCAAATGCAGGAGCAACTGGCAACCAGATTCAGGGAAATGATATGGGGAATGATGCAGGAGCTGATGTTGCCCCAGGGGCAGCAGGTTCTGGGAACCAAGCACTATATCAAGATTCTTCTATATTATATCATTATAGAGATATGCAGAGAAGACAGGTTGAATTTATTAAAAAAAGGGTGCTTCTTTTGGAAAAAGGGCTCAATGCAGAGTACCAGAAAGTATATTTTGTAAGTTCATTTGTTTCTTGCAATTGTTAAATGTTGGCTGATATTTTCTTTTGATTGGTACATGAACACTGGGTTAAAAAAAAAAAACAAAAAAACTACCTAGTTAGAATGTCTGAGATAAGCCATCTTGAGAAAAGTTAGTTTCTCATAGTATTTTTGGGGCTTACTGTGTTTCAATAAGAGGTGAAAGAATTATTTACAATTACTTACAATTGATCTCCAGGGTGATGTAAAGTCAAATGTGCTAATGAGTGAAGAGCCTGAGAGTGGACCAAAGGTTGTAGACACACCAGGTGCAAGTTCCTCAGATGTAGATCTCCAAGTGATTGATCAGTTACCTGAAGTAGAAGTAATTGGTATGTTCATCTTAAATATATATATTTATTATATTTTTGTTGAGAATAATGTCTGGTACTTCTGTTACTTGGGAAACTTGCTCATGGGTATATAGACAAGGCTGGTAATTGCACTGCAGAAAATGCAAGAATTATAAAATAAACTTTTAACCAATTTCAAGTAGAAGATAAAGTGGAAGATTTTCACTGAAATATTGTGGTAGTGTTGGCATCGTGTTTCTTTTTTTTTTTTTGGGTCATGTGTTTGCTCCTTTTTATTTGCTTTTTTTTTGGTGGACTGGGGAGGTTTGGTTGCATGGACAGAATGCAGATCTTTGTATACACTATGAGTTTCTGGTCTGGACTGCTATTATAGGCCAGACCTGGTTTATACAGCTAGTTTTGTATTTGATTTTGTTGTGGTGGTTACTAATATTATTATCCTTGTGCAGCTTCAGAGGAGATGGCAGCAACTGCTTGTGATGATGATGCGGATCGATCAAAGTTGGCTCAGCTTTACAATGAGGTATGCGGTTTCAACATTTAGGGTTAAGCAGACAGAATGCAATTTCAATGATATCGTGAAAGAAATTTATAAAAACAGAATGAAGAAAAGGATCAAGCATCATGCTGATTAACAGACTTCTTGTGGCTTCTGATTTTTGGGCAGATGTGTAAGTTAGTGGATGATAATGTTCATGAATCAGCTCAGACATGTCTCAAGTTGAAGAACTTCCAGCCATTGGAACAGATCAGTGGAGATATAACTCGGATTCTCTCTTCCCCAAAGTCTAATCCCCATTCTTCAGAGCAGCCTATAGTTCATATGGACACACCAGCGCAGGCTGACTCACAGAATACCATGCCAGGGACTACTTCAGTACCTCCCCAACAAAATGACAGCAAACCTGATATTGTGGCCGATACTGACAAGAAGGATTCTGGAGCAGAATCTGAATCAGAGAAAGCTGCTGTGGTGGCAGATGTTCTACTGGAGGACTCAGAAGAACAAGAACCGCTAAAGGATTGTGTTAAAGCAGAGGATTCAGATTCAGACCCCAGTTCAACTAAAGAAGGCACTAAATCATCAAATCTTTCTGCTTCTACAGATTTGCCCTAGATGGAGTCCCAATGGAATAATGCCAGTAGCAAAACTGATGCTGATGCCGAGGATGGGTGCACAGAGCATTCTGAAACAGGGTTCGTCATTTTAGACAATGAATGAACACAAATAATTTCTAGAGTATCAAAACATTGAATATTTTCCCTTTTAAGGGTTCAGTTTACGGTAAAAACAGGTACAAACTGGAGACTTTGAAAGCCATCATTAACTTTATAAAGTTGCGTTCATATCATATTTGAAGGGGGTGATTATCTTTTTCTCAATTTCCTATAATAATGGAAAATGATTAGAAGACAATTATTATTTACAAATTTTTCATATAACTTTTTACATGTCATTCAATGATTAGTTCATTTTACTCTATTGAAACTTGTGATGTTATATGTATTTATTCATTTAATGACATGTAAAAATTATAAAAAAAAAATTTCAAATTAGTTGTTTTTGTATAACCTCGTTATGGTAATTGTGCATTCCCATGATAATTAGAGTAAAAAATCACTTACGCGTTAGTGTTACTCTTATATGTATAAATTATCAAATAGTTAAAAATATTAGATGTGAGTCTATAACAGGAGCATGGTTTGAATTTGATAACATATCTTAGGAAGGTTCTTCAGGAATGATGTAAGAAATGAGGCGTAATGCCACATTGGAAGGTTCTAATTAACTTCTTTCCCCGAGACAGACAAATATATTAGAAAACGATACTTGATTCGTACAACCTAAGCGTCCCATACAAATTGAATTGGTATATATGACCAAATCTCCACCCTTCTTTCCTGCAGCAAATGGTGGCCTGTGTTTTTGCATTCCTTCAAAGTCTTGATCACTTTGAGTATATTAAATGATTCATACAAATCAAAGCACATATATTTGTTTATTTACCTGTCATTGATGGGGTTCCTTTCTTTCTTTTTGATCTTTCAAGTAAGCCAAAGAACAGTTAGTTCTTCAATTGTTTTCATCATCATCTTCTCCCAATTGCACTAACTTTATTTTTGGCTTGTTTTCTTTAATCTTGTGGATGGATTACACTGTAAGAATAATAAATTTGCATTTAGAGAAGCCAACAAAAAGACAATTGAGATAAATTATTATATGTAGAGAGGTTAAAGAGGCATCTATGTAACCTAGCAAGCTATACATTCTTTTGGCTCATGTGCATGATACATGTATAGATACTTGCCTAATAAGAATCAATTATTGCCTCTCTCCAAGTTTTTTTTGTAGAATGCAGGAAATAATTGATGTTACGGATTTACAAGTTAGGAATAATTTTTTTATTTAACTTTTAATATAGTTTTATTTTTTTTTATTTTTACCATAGAAATTTGAAGATAAAGGAACTCTTGTTTTCTTAAAAATTGATAGAGTTTCATTCCTATGACATTTTTACTAAAGTTTCAACTAGGCCAAATTAATAGGATTTAAAATATTTATTTAAAATATCAATAACCATATTATAATGCATGCCATGCATATTATATACATAATAGTTAGCATGTTCACATACACATGCATATCTTTGCTAGCTACTTTTGTTTCCTTTGTTATTTCTGTTAATTGTATTATATTATATGTGTAAGCAAAGCTGCAAGCACTCGGCAGAAAAGAATTCATTCCAGTGAGAGAGAAGAAGCAAAACAGTATAAACTAAAAGACACAGCCAAAAGGAGGATTGGTTCTCTTCGACAATAAAAACTAAACAAATGAAAGAAAAAAAAAAAAAAAGGAAAGAAGATAAAGGAAAGTAAAGTATATGGTGAAGAAAAGAGAGCCTGAAAATCAGGCAATTTGCTGGGAAAGTGGAGACAACAAGAGACAAGACTGGGCTTCCAATGCACGCATGTTTTGCAGCTAACAGCAATCTCTTAAGCCCCTTCTCCTCCTTTCCCCCCTTATGACATGCCAACCTGTTTTCCCTAACAAGCTTCTTCCTCCCACTTCTATTTGTTTCTCTAATCATCTATCCTTACTTTATTTATAAAATGAGAGAAGAGGGAAAACAAAACAGAGTTCTTATGTTATTCCCTTAGCCCATTTTGAGTGTTTGTTTCTTGAGAAACAAAAAGAATGTGGGGCAATATTTCCCCTGTTTCTCCATCAGTTATCACCATCTTCATGGGAATTAATTATTAGTTTAGAACAGACTTATATATTGTAAAATTTGTTAGCTCTAGTAGTGTCCAAGATAGACAAGAAAAAATGTCAAATATATATATGATGAAAGAAAACCTTAATCATTTATAGTTGTATATATATATCTAATATGGAATAAAAAACAACAAAATTTTGACAAGAAAGACAATCACATTCATTGTGCGGCTCTCATTTGCCAATGGTGATGGTAAAGCAATTCAACTATTGTTGAATTATCAAATTATCATTAGTTCGCTACATATCTAACATGGTGTAACTATATGGTATTTTTAACATTAAAAAAATTACATTTATATGTGACATGGATATAGCTCACATTGCCATTAAGAAACAACATGTTATGGTAAGCAATCCAAATGTTGTTGAGTTTACTAAATTGTCATTAACTCTTTACATAACTAAACTCTAAATGATGAGAGGCTGGCCCCATGATTGATATGTTACCATGGCATGGTATGCAAGTAGTAGTCGGTCACCGTTATTTCTTCTTCTTTCCAGTGCGAGCCAGATAATACAGTCGGTAGCTTACCTGAGTTCTTTTCATACATAGAAACAAATATGGTATCATGCAGAATCACTAAGTAATAAAAAGAAGAACCAAATATGCCATTAATTAAATCTATAAAATAGACATAGCTTAGCTATAGCTCCTAGGAACAATCTACGCTTCTTCTCTTTATAATGCACAAACTACAAACCCTAACTGATCAAACCAATTAAGCAACAATCATGGCTGAAAAACATGATCAGAATTCCCCAACAGTTCATGTAACCAAGACAGTTTCTGTGTTTCCAAAACCTCTGCACCCAGACAAAATTCTTAAGCTGTCCAATTTGGACAGGCAGTGTCCAATGCTCATGTACTTGGTTTTCTTTTACAAAGCTTCTAGTTTTTACAATAACTTGTCTGTTGGGTCTGTTTTTAGTGGCTTGAAATCTGGTCTGGAAGAAACCTTGTCGGATTGGTATCCGGCCGCGGGGAGGCTGAGGTTAAATCCAGATGATGGGAAACTGGATCTCTGGTGCAACAACAAAGGTGCAGTTGTGGTGGAGGCTACTACAAATGTTAAGCTTTCTGAGCTTGGAGATCTTTCCCAATATAATGAATTCTTTGAAAAGCTAGTTTTCAAGCCTGTTTTTAATGGGGATTTCTCTGAAATTCCTCTGGTTGTTGCTCAGGTAATAACATCATCATTTCCCTGCACCTTCAATACAATTTTTCAAATGATATTTAAGGGAACAGAAATCATGTTTCTCAGTTTTGTCAATCTCTTTAACCGACAGCTAACAAAGGTTTTGTTGAAAATCATTATGTCCTGTCCTGACAATTTTTTATTTCATTTCTCTGACACAACCCTGCGTTAGGGTTTCTTCAAAGATTAGGATGACCTTCAACAAGGTAGAAAGCAGAACTTATTATCAACCTGACCAACACCCTATGGGACATTTCCCTCTTTTTTTTTTTTTTCTTTTTTTTTTTTTAAGATTCTTGACAGTTTTATTTTATTTTCTCTCTGTCGTGAACCCTCTTTAGGGTTACAGTCTGTGTCCATGTTCTTACCCTCTTTAGGGTTACAGTCTGTCTCCATGTTCTTTCTTTCCAAGTTTTACAATATTTTAGGGTTTCTTTCCGTGATCATCTTTCCCAGTTGCTTCCCCTTTCTCTTTAACTAATTAATAGCAGACTTCAAATTCCATGATGTTTGTTTTAAAATTATTAATTAACTCTGACCAGAAGTCCTCTTTAGGGTTTGTGTTTATCTCTATGTTTTTCTCTTTCTCACTTAAACTTTTGGTTTCCAATCTTTCAACTGGATGTAGGTGACAAGATTTGGTTGTGGAGGCTATTCAATTGGAATCGGAGAGAGCCACTCCTTGTTTGATGGACCAGCAACCTATGATTTTCTTCGTGCATGGGCTTCAAATTCTGCTATTCTCAAAGAAAAGAGAAGCCCTAATCAACAAAGACCTGTGCACGAGAGAGGGAGATTGTTGGTGACTAATTTCCATTCCCAAAAGGGAATTCCAAGCTTGCCTAGCAGTGCCAACTTGAGGGTGGGGACGGCTGCCGCCGTTGATCATCTGTATCAGTTGATAAATCAGGCTGTTAGCGCTGCTGCAAAGCTTGGAGCACCAAGGAACATTCATGAGGTCGGAAACTCAAATTTGGTCCTCAAGACCTTTAACCTCAGTGGTGCAATGATAGAGAAGTTGAAGAGCAAAGCTTTTGGGGAGAGGAGAGGTAGCTTTTCTTGTTCTTACTTTGAGTTGGTTGCAACTCACCTATGGAAGGTAAATTTCTTATATTCAAAGAGCCACATATATCAAGAGGTTAATTAAGTTTGCTTATATATTGGAATTAATGTAGACATATAATAATCACTAGCTAGGGTGTATATATACATAAAAAAAAACCGTTTCTTGCAATGATTTCATCACATGCACGAGAAATTTATAAGGTCAACAATATGAATGTAACAAATCTTGTTATGAAATGTTGAGTTTCAATTTCATCTAGAATTTTCAAATTACATAAATAATGTAAAACAGTAGGATATAACTACTTTTGTGCATCGATCTACTTGAGCAAAGAGAGTTCCATGTTCCTTGTGTTTAAATAATGGAGAAAAGTAAGAATTAAAATGTTTTGTCATTTTTAAATATTAAGATTAACTTTGAAATTGTTCAAATATTTTTAATAAATATTTTTTATGTTTTAATTCATTGTAAATATTTAAGTCTTTTAATTTCATTATTATTCCTTGCATTTAATTTTAATTATTAGCATATCTTGATTTTGTGTAATTTCATGATTTTTTATAATCTCTTTAACTATGAAAATAACATTATTTCTGCACAATAAGTTTATTTTGCCCCAAGAAATTAAATTAAGGTTAATTACATATGGATGCTACAAATTTTGATGTGGAAACATATATTTAAGTTCAGAAAATCTTTTGGAGTTCCAAGATTTACAATAACCTTTTTGGGGATATAACTATTTTGCAAAATCACACATGAACACAAATTTAATTTAATTACTTAAGGCTATGTTTTTCTTTTTATAATACATACTGGATTTCAAACAGTTAGCTGTTTAGCAATTGCCAGAGCATTTGAACTTTAACCTTAATCTCAAATTAAGGTTTTATAACTAGTATTAACTTGGCTCAGTTATTTTGTTGTGCAACCTTCAAAGTTAAAACAAATCAATTTCTTCAGGCAAGAACCAAGGCACTAGGGCTGCAGAATGGAACAGTGGTATGCTTGCAGTTTGCAGTGGACATAAGGAACAAGGTGGTGCCGCCACTGCCACAAGCCTTCAGCGGCAATGCTTATGTGCTCGCCTCTGTTGCATTAACAGCCAAAGAACTGGAAGAAGGAAGCCATGCTACCATCATTGAAAAGATTAAGGAAGCCAAGAACTCCATCGACAACAACTATGTCAATGCATACATCCAAGCACTGGATGGATCACAGGGCAGTCTCCCTCCATTGAAGGAACTAACCATGGTTTCGGACTGGACAAGAATGCCATTCCACAAGCTTGATTTTCTTCGTGGAGAAGCAGCCTATGCATCTCCCCTGGTTACTCCAGTGCCTCTGGCTGCATATTTTATGCAGAATCCAATCGATCCAAGAGGCATTGATGTCAGAATTGGGTTGTTTCCAGGAATCTTGAATGCCTTTTCTCACTTTTTCCTCACAAATATGCAATAAATTTCCTTACCCAGGAAAAAGGAAAATAAGAAATGGATGAATGTCAAACATATATAATCTATGTCTTTGGGGTTAGGATGTGTGAAGTATAAGATATGTGAAAGATAAAAAAGAAGAAATAAATGAATGTATAACATAAATCATCCATGTTTGGGTGGGGAGGATATCGATGTGTTAAGTATTATATATGTGAGAAAAATTTATCATTAGGAAATGATGAATTTTCTGATAAATGTTTTCAAATTTTCATGCTGAATTGCTGAAGAAATTTGACTCTGCTAATGTTTTGTTTCTTTCCCATGAGACAAAATTGAACCTAACTGATCACGTTCGTTGGGTTTTGCTCTCTTTGGTCAAATAAAGCTCCTTTTGGATGTGGGGTCACATAAGCATCTGAACCTAATCTTCATACAAAAAAAGGAAAAAAAGAGAATCTGTACGATGCAAAGTAAAAAACATAATTAACTCCATAATGCATAGATGTGGCCCTAAACAATCAATATTTTTATTCAATATAGAAGATGGCTTAGCCAGACAGGCTCCTAGAAAAGATTGTTTTGCCCAATAAACTAGACTACATAAACTAACCCTTTTAAATATTTTAAAGGGTAACTGTAGAGTAGCAAAAATATGCTCGATAATGGCAGCCATTACTCAAGCCTAGCTAGCTATATATATTCCTATCTATGTAGATCTTCCTGAAGTTTGTAGCTGCAGACATGTTATCATATGCACGTCTCGAAGGAACCAGGATTGCTTCCAAAATTGCCTTCTAAAGATTTCACTTGTTCCTGCATAGATGAAGACTTTTCAGAATGGTAGTTGAAGATAAAAGAAACAGGGTAGGTGAATGCAAAAACTAACAGTTTAAGATCTGCATGATGCAGTGAACTACTTCCAGTATTATTCGAATATTTAGAAAAAAAAAAAAATCAAAAAGAGACAAAAATCAGATAAGTGGCATAAAAATCCTGAGTTGATGCACAAGAAATGTAGATATATGTAGGAGTTTTAGAAACCAATACATGAAGAAGTCCATATCTTTGGATAAAATATCTAAGAGCAATATAGCATCACAAATGAATGTGGATAGTCCCCAAAGAACCAAGTCTTTTTAATATTGTAACCCCAACTTTCATCCACATGAAAAGTCAAAAGTAGATATAATCAATCCCTTTACGCAATCTTCAGTTAAACAGAGAGTACCATTATCACACAAGACTAGGGTATCGTAGGCAAAAAGAGTGCAGCATTTGAAATTTTCTAGCATCTCGAAGGATGCCAAATAAGGAATAATGCAATGTAAGAAGCCTTCTATGATGTTGAACAATTTATGGGAAGGAACAGTTCTAGGCTTCAAATCTCACAAAATATGGAAAAGACTGGATTTGGCCAGCTGATTCTTTAACTCCAACGTTGAAACTATGGATTAAGCAAAGATATCTACAAAGAAGAAAAATTGAATATGGTAATAAAGACACATCACTACAAACTTATTTGACAACAAGATTATTTAATAATTACCTGATTCACCATTGCACCTGCCACGTCTTCCAAAGAACCAACAATATTTGAAATGTATCTGCTCTGCGGCTTCTGATGCCCTATGAGATGCCCTGCCTTCATATTAACCGATGTTTGCATACCTGGATTATCAGCCACATTACACTTCATGGGTAAGGGATCAACAAAATTTGATTGTCCAATTGCCCCTAGGTTCATGTTTCTGTGGAAAATTGTGTTACTTGGATTCGAGCAATGGTCTAATGAACCCATAGAACCATCTATAGGAAAGGAAGAGCTCATTGTGCTACATTTTAGAGTTGAGTAGTAAGGGCCATCCTGTCTGTAGGCACCCCATTCTTGCATAACATTTTTAATTATCTGCCCATTGTTACTGCTGATTGCTACCCCTTGGCCTTGTAAATCTGTTTTTGAACCTTGTGACTGATTAGGGGGTGGAGACATGGAAGAAAATTTTGACATATTTCCATTTTGAAAGGTTGTTGTAGAAACACTGTCACTGAGACCGAGGTTACCAGGAAGCAAGTTGGTCTGCTGAAAACAATCATTCAATGCAAAATAATTTGGTTGGACATCAGATGACAGAACAGCACTCAACCAGTCGTCACTACATTTACCAAAATCTGGTAAATGGGAAGATGATCCAGAATTTAAGGAGGCCATTGTCTCTGAAGATTGGTTTCCAAATATTTTCTCCTCTTTGGCCACTTGAGGACGTCCTTCCAACATTAAGGGGTCGTTCGTAACACCAAGAAGCAGATTATTTGAGCATCCAGTTAATTTTGCATCTTGGAAACTACTGGAGATGGGGCAAACAGTTGTATTATCAGCAGCAGTAGGGAGCTCTTCAACGTGGTTAACAGACTTACTACTGGACATTGGAATCCCTTGAAGTATGCTGCCATTATAGTTTCCAGGACCAGGAATCATGACCGGATGGAACCTGTTCTGGTTATTGCTAATGTTGCCAGAGTTGTTTGCTTGACCCAATTGAATCACTCCTGAGGATGGGAGGCCATGCATACCCAGCCCAGCAGGTGTGTTCAATCTTCCAAGCATACCCCTAGGTTGGAAAGATCTAAATGCTGCATTGTGAAACTGATTGGATCCTGACAAAGTATGGAAATTCCCAAGTCCATTCAGATTCTGAAAGTTTAGAGAACCCATTCGCATATATGAAGGATCTGCACCTGCTAAGGCTGCCGCCAGATTAGATTGCTGGTTAGCCTCAGAGCTAATCTTTTTAAGGTAAAGCCTGTACTTCTGGAATCATAAAGAAACACAGTTAACATCCAGGTTATCACTATAAGTCTATCAGATAATAATTATGGCATGAAAGCGAAGAATTATAATACCTGAAGATGGCTTGCCACATTTTCTCTTGT